GTGTAAAGCTGACTGAACCATATATGCACTAGCATTGATGTTACACACCGTGATTACCCATTGCTGCCCGATATAGCAAAGATCAAATAACTTAACACTATAAGGTTCAACAAACCCCTTAAAAGATGTTATAGTCACCCGAAAATCCAATACCCTATAAAACCTTGAGTTCATGTATGTAGTGTGCCTATACTGAACATGACCATTTGCGATTAAATGATACATAGCTACGTTGAAGTAAGCCGATAATTAAGGCATTTAGGCTGATGTCTTCATTAAAATAGTTCACCGAACCTATCACAGGTCAATCTCCTATACGAAGCATCTATTGCAACGTGATTTCATATTACTTAATGTTTACTCATATCCATAGGTCATGCGGGGCTTAATTGATCTACAGTTTTGTATTGCTAGCTGTGAAATGTATTAGGGCTTGCAATACATACCCGACAAAAGAAAAAGCTACTTCAAAGAATTCGGTACATACTAGATGGATGGAGAACGTTTTATTTTTCCTGTTTTCAGTAAAACGTTAATTTCAGTGACCACTATGGAGATTGTTTCATATCTTGTAGACTTTTCAATATGAGTTTATGAAATTATAAAACATAAAAACAATCTAATCAAGACTTTATTGCACTAAGCATGAAGTGTGACACTACATTATTAACCACGAGAGGCCTATGTTGTTTGTTGCCTCTGTCCATGTTGTTGTTAATACCTGTTGTCATATTTAACGAGAACGACACATATCAGATGATAGCGAAACCTACTTTGTTATATACTAAAACGTTCATGTAGCGATACGAATCTTAATCCCTATGATACATTTTAATGTACAACATGTAAAATACATATGCCCATATATCTTTTTTAAGTAATACGCATCCAACCAACATTTGTTTGTTCGGATCCAGTGACAATATTAGTTCTAAAACAAAACACGAAGACCAAATTTTGTTAGCACTTTATTTATACCTATGTATACAATTTGTACACGAACAACTACCACATACGAATTTTATCACTACATTTATTTAGATTTTCAGTATTAATTCACTTGACCTCACGTATTCAAGATAATTATTTATTATAATTAGCCTTCGGTTACAAGCTAACCAAAGGGATATGCAATTACAACAGCATATTTTATATAAGTAACCTCTGTTTATTTATATATTTATATTGTATTATTGTTTAATAGTGACTGTTTATCTATGTTATATGTTGTGATATGTAAGTTGGCATGTTCCTGTCTTGATAAAGGGGCGAATGATCGCCCTGAAAAATTGACAAATGTCTTTGTATACAAGTATAGTATCAAAATATTGCCGGATTAAAAAAATCAATAAATCATCTTCATGCTGTAACTAGTAAGTTCACGTTCATCTTGTAGTTGTACTTTCACCTTATCGTTCTAATTCCAGTTTACAGTTTATTTATAATCTGTCAAGACGTTTTCAACACTATTTCTACTAAGAAGCGTGTAAGCGCTTATCAAAAATACGAAACCGAAAATAACGTCAGGCGTGAATCAACTAAAACACATTTATATGATTTTGGAAAACATGATGGTATAGTTCATTTTCAAAATTTCTATTCTTTTCATCAAAATTGATATAAGTATGCCAAACTTTAGTAATCACTCGAGCTAACGTATGGAACTCGTTAATAAATACGGGAATATTTCTAAAATTTCTGAAACTAAATAGTGTATAAAATATATAAAAACACCGACGAAACCGATCAATGCCTCCATATATGTTAGTTATTCGTGTAAAGTGTGTTCATTACTTTTTTTAAACAAGCGTATCATATCATGTACACGCAACATAGAAACACTTTTAGGAAAAATTAAGGGACAAAAAAACTTCATCCGAACAAATACATATAGAGATTGCTTTAACTGAATTTACTATTGCAGAAAGTAAACCGAATACAGTAACTGAGTTTAGGTTACAGAAGACTTATCTGATAAGATGTAGAAGTCGGATTCAAGTTCAAAGTCTTTATTATCAACCAGGAACAAATGTCTCCTCTTTTGTGATTACTTACCATTAAAGCTGAAGAGATATTATCATGTGTATGTATTTAACTGGTACAAACGCTATTTATCATATCAAGAAAAAATTTCCTGACTTTTAATCAAATTTTGCACAATATATATTTAGAGAGAGAAAAAACGTATACAATATTTAAAAAAATCAAATTAAAAGGTCACTTCAACATGCAAAAGTAGTACTTCTATATTAAAACAGAAATAAACATTAACAGTATTTACCTCGTTACGAATAGCACCCCGTTTCACGTGTGGAAATATCTGATGCCACAATGCGGAAAAGGCGACGTTATGAAATTAAAACATTTTTCAATATAGTTACCGTATACGTTAGAAAGATGTGATAATTTTTTCTGCGCAAACTTTGATTGCAAATATTGGGTATGCTATATCTGATTGACAGATAAGTTTTTGTCCAAAAAGCTCAGGGGATAGTTGGAAAACGCACTCGCCTTTCATAGAAACGGTTGGCCTGTGTTCAAATCCCTTTCGAATATGGATAGGTATGGCATTAACTGCACGATCACGTGGGTTTTTCTTCTGATACTCAGAGATTTTCAATCTCCTTCCGTGAGCTACCGTCCGGACCAAAAACAGTTATTATAATAAACTTATCATTGGTAATTTATAATTGATGTTAAAAATAATTGAAAATTGTTTTAATTAAGATATATACAATAAAACGTTTTTTTTGTATTTGATTACAAACGCTGTTTTTTAATCAATGTTTCAGTGAACGTCAAACAAAATTGAGTAGATGAGATATAAACATACATCAGACCCCCTTCACGTGATGTAACACACAGTGACATCCAGGGGCTTTCCTTTAGTATATATGAATACCAAATAACAAATAACAAATTCAAAATCATTAATTATACTACAACAACAATATGCTTGAATAAAAACACTAGTTTGCCATTTACAGAATTCAAAGAGCCAGTATATATATGAAATATTAAAATAAAAATAACAGTGCTGCCTTATAAATAAAGTTTTGTCTTACTCATATTTCTGTTCTGGATATAACGAAATCAAAACAGGTAAACAGTTTGTTTTAAGTGGGAATCAAAATTCACAACTTTCTCTTCTGAATTCACCACCACTGTGTCCATGTTAGATCTCATACAAAGTTTACATCTAATTGTATACATTTCATTGTTACATGTATAAAGCACTACAGCGCAGACAATATATATTTAAAACTATTACCTACATATACATATACTACCATAAAGTTACAAAGTACATATTGATTTAAACTAGAATCTTTAAATTATGAAAACATTTTTTTAAAAAGACAAGGAAGGAACAGTGGGCTGCCAAAATTGTAAGATACCATCCATCCAGATAAATCCGAAACCAAAACCAAGTTCTCATTAAGTATCAAACAATAAAGTTTTATGTGTGCTGTCATATTGCTGTGACATATATGCAATAACTTCCTAATCAATATAAACTTCCCTCCTAAAGCCAACCAAACTTTTGCAATTTTAGCTTATTCATACCACAGTAAAACAACACGCGATAACAAACCACACCTTAAACTTTTCAAAATATAACCACACAAAAAACATTAATAAAATATAACAGAACAAACAGAATATTGTAATCAGCCCTATGTCCGTATATTAATGAAATAAAATATCCCTGCTAAATTATCATTGACTTTACATTTACTAATATTAAATCAGAAAAAAAACATGATTCTCTTCATAACTTTATCGAAACCGATACACTACGTTCTACCCTAAGAAGCATATCGTGATTAGATCATGAAAAAATACGGGAAAATAACAAAAATATATATAACAAAAACAAAACAAAAATCACGTTGTCGTAAAAATTGAATTTTAGACAAATATTTACATTCTTTATGTGCCTTATAGGTCTTTGTTTATGTCAATACAAACTAATCAGTTCAACATTCATGCAATAATAACTTATGTATACCAAAATAAAACAACTCGACATAAATAGTAATAAACCACACCTTAAACTATCAAATTACCCCACACCCCACACCCCAAAATAAAAAAAATCTGAAAAATAATAACAAACAGAATACTGAAAACAGCCTTATTTTTTGTCTATGTCCGCATATTAACAAAATAAAGTATTCCTCCAAAATTATCATTGGTTTACTTCTATTTAATCAAAAAGCCATGATTTTCATCAAAACATCGAAACCAGTACACTACGTTTTACTCTATGAAGCTGCCTGATAGTGATATCGTAACAAAATAAAGTATTCTCCAAAATTCTCATTGATTTACTTATATTTAATCACGAAAGTCATGTTCTATTTAATAAAGCTTACCGATAGTGATATCATTACTTAATTATAAAAATGAAATAAAATATAACACAAACAAAACAAAAAATTATAATAATTATAACAATTGAATTTTTAACAAATATTTACGTTTTCTACTTCAGACATTTACAGTTGATCTGTTGTTTAACATTCCATTGTTACTGTGTTACATGTATTAAAACGAAACAGTACTGTTCCTATGAAACAGTTCAAAAACATGTTAATCATATTATTCTTGCACATAGCGATGTACACGTATATATATATATAGACATCTCATTGATGTGATTAAGGTGTTCGTAATCTTCGGCACGTACGTTCCAGGATGGTGATTGCCACACACGCTCCGGATATTTAACCCTTTTCAACATTAAAAAAGGCATATCTAACATCATCCAACGCATTTTATCTCTTACAACGATAATTATTTGATCTGTAGTTGTAAGACGAATACTAATGAGATCACACATATATTTCATTCTACTGGGAATGTAAATATGATGTCTATATCTATGTGAAGGTTTCTATACAGATATTAGTATTTATTTGTCATGTTCGTACCGTACCATTGATGCATGTATCGGATTATATGTGTTATTTGTCATGTTCGTACCGTANTACGTAAGAAGACCATCTGTGTCACGCATCTTTGTATCATCGTTTTGACAAAGGTTATCATAAAATGATATCAGGCTCACATCATGAAGTAGTCCGTATCATGTTCCGAAAATCAATACTTTGTGCTTTGTTGTTAGATTTATACCAAACTGCCCAAACACAATTTCTTACGTTACATCTCCTCCATGGGAATGCCATCAGTGGCATTTGTAAGGAAGTGACGCAGATAATCAGTTCGGTCAACATCATCATGCTTTTTTCAAAGACGATTTATGTCATTACTCCAATCTGGTCGATGATGGAATAATTTTCTTAGCGGCTGAGTTCAAAATATTTATGCAAGTTAATGTATAATCACATGACGTGTGCGTCAGGATATCAGCATACAAAAAGTCGGCGAAAAGTCGTGAACAAGCAATTAAGTAGGGCGATAAATCCTCGCGTTAAGACAGAGTGTGCTTCAAAATAGAAAAAGTGAGTTTCCTCTAGCCTACAGATCCACGATTTACGCTACCAATATTAGACACGTCCTTTCATTGGACGTTCACTACAAACGCTATTCCGTCGGATCAAACCTTAGTTAATACAGTTGCCGAAGATCCTGAGTCTCCAAAGAGGAGTCGCACGGTCAAACTATTTATGAATAAATTCTCAACACCGAATTCGAAGAGATCTGCACCAGGTACTGCAGGGTATACACTAATCCAACCTGTTGTCGCGATGCACGTGTCATTAGGTATATCGCTACTGATAACTACGTCAGCACCAACGCTTCTTCCAGCAACTCATCAAAGGCAATATCCGGCTCGCGTCAAGAAAGACGTGTTTGTACAAGTAATACTTATATTTTGTTAACGTCGTGTGCATTGTCTTTTAACGTGGTGGTGCAAATAGCTACTCTGAATAACTCGTAAAATAACGCGGTAAAGTGAAGAAACGTTGCTTATCTCATAAGAAAAATCACATGGGAAACCGCCGTGTCATCGGAAAGATACTTTACCCTTTCAGATATTACTTCCTTTTCCCACGATCTCGGAGTGATAGAGTGAGTAATTTGAAGCTCATGCCAGATAGCACACAGTAGTACAGTATGTCATAGAGATCATAGCTACCGTTTCACTATATATACTTTGCTATTATATGCTAGTATCTCTGACCGACACTGTGTCAAAGACACAGTAAATACCAGTTTCCGTAACAAACTCGTTCGGAAAGATATGCTTGACCTATACGGCGAGCCAATACCTACCCTCGTCTAAATCGTAACCATCTGATGAAAAGTGCACGTTACATTAACGGTATTCATTCGCGTTTTTTTTGGTTTAGGAGAAGTACTTGATACAGTCTGTTTTACTGTGGTTTCACATCTTTAGAGAGTGTTATATTTAGATGGTGTCCACAGAGGGCGGATGAGAATCAATTACAACTTCTACACGATGCCTTAAACAAGGGATTGACGTGTGATTTAAAAGGAAACGATGCTAATTCCTGTGCTGAAAAAAACACATTTACCTGTATTAGAAGGTTATTGAAAGAAAATGTGTCCATCTTCCTATCGATGCCAAGCGTCTCTTCTACAGCAACCAGAAATGTAACATTTGCAGCAGGACAGTTGGCAGGATACTATTGTAAAATTTCATGAGATTTCTAACATTTTCACTTACATTTTTATCATAATTTAGGATAGCATTTCATCCTATGTTGATCGAAACCCCTTAAACTTTTAATGATTTTCAGTACACATCATGATTGGTTCAGATGTAAACGATGTAGTTGACTCTCAGGTCCCTGTTCACCGCCCATGTCTATTTCGAATTGTGTTAAAACTTATGCAAGAGACAACCTATATAGACCAAGATAGTTAGAATAATGGAAGTGGTACAGGAAGGAGACATTTGAGACTTTCACGAAGATTTCATCACCCGCATGTAACTTAAATACGCCGCAGAGGAAGCTTGTGTAGAAGCCACTTGACTGCTTTCCTCCGCCATATTTATTCATCATCATCATGATCGCCCCTGTGTTTGGCAGGAGGTAGTGTTCCCGTAATAGCATATGGTATACCTGTGCATTCAGATCGGTTGGTGGTGTCTGGAATGTGATGGAGGAGTAGACGAAATACAGGCCGTACTGTTTGACCTGAATACTCCGTTTGTCGGGGTCGTACACCAGTAGTTGGCTGGTCATCGACAGGTTGTGGTAGTCATGTCCTTCCCAGGGGATCCTAGGCGCTATTAAATATATAACACATATTATGGTTAGTGGTCACATGACACTCTCAATCGCTCATCTCATTTGATCCAGATCGTAAATCGCATCCTTGATAGTAAAATCACTCTATTAGATATTGGTCCATAGCAATCATAACTCGTTAACTATCTTTACGAAGATTGCAATAATTTGCTAATTAGTTCAGCATGTGTAAAATTTGGTTTCGTTATTTTTGTAGTTCTTTTAATTTAAATAAACTTTCAATTATTTTATGATCATAAAGTGTCATTCGTTGACAGATACTGCCAGGAACACACGAACATATCAAAGACGCAGTACGTAATCAGAGTATGCATGAATCAGATGTATTGCATAAGTTTGGTCATCATCTACTGAAATTCTAAAATGATATTACAACACCTCCATCTTGTCAGAGAGTATAAGGCAGTACAAAATATTATTGAATAACAAATATGTTATATTTGGTAATACACCATTTATCTCCTGTAGGTTTCCTCGATAAATCGACTAAAACTGTACAGTGATGTCCTATGTTAAACAAAATCTATTTGTCAATGGCTTTTCAATGTATTGAACATACCCTATATTTTGTCAAATATTCAGCATATAAATTAACAATACATAACTAGAAGCAAGAACAGCTCACACATGTATATCAGAATATTGTTCTTTGAGGAAAACATATTTCCGTCTGAACTAAATCTCTAGGCATGACTTCATATTTGTTTTCTCTTCTTTACCTCGAAACTATAAGACGGTTATCAATTATTTTTTGAAGATATTGATATTATATATTTCAGCTGAACTTACACATAAAGAGTTAATAGGACTTTGGTTTCAATCATTTTCAAATGCGTTTGCGTAGAGATTAACGTCTACGCGTAGACTTGTTGCCGTGGAATGAAAAACGTCNGAAATTCTAAAATGATATTACAACACCTCCATCTTGTCAGAGAGTATAAGGCAGTACAAAATATTATTGAATAACAAATATGTTATATTTGGTAATACACCATTTATCTCCTGTAGGTTTCCTCGATAAATCGACTAAAACTGTACAGTGATGTCCTATGTTAAACAAAATCTATTTGTCAATGGCTTTTCAATGTATTGAACATACCCTATATTTTGTCAAATATTCAGCATATAAATTAACAATACATAACTAGAAGCAAGAACAGCTCACACATGTATATCAGAATATTGTTCTTTGAGGAAAACATATTTCCGTCCGAACTAAATCTCTAGGCATGACTTCATTTTTGTTTTCTCTTCTTTACCTCGAAACTATAAGACGGTTATCAATTATTTTTTGAAGATATTGATATTATATATTTCAGCTGAACTTACACATAAAGAGTTAATAGGACTTTGGTTTCAATCATTTTCAAATGCGTTTGCGTAGAGATTAACGTCTACGCGTAGACTTGTTGCCGTGGAATGAAAAACGTCCAAGGAATAATGTCGATGACATAGACTTTTAATTCATAGATATCATGCACCCATCTCAACGTGGTATCGTCGTCATCGACAAGTTGATAACATACAATGTTATTTAATGTATCGCAACTGTCCAATATTTGTAGTTGTATATATTTAAATGAATACAATATATCGATGTTTAACTTGACACTCTTCAAATTTGTTAAATTGTGTTCCCAATTATGTTTTAAAGGGCCTGTTTCCAGTAATGGTAATTCTCCATTCAATCCACTCGTACTGTTCCCCATATCTTTCATCTGGTATATATACCAAGACTACACACGATGCTCTATTACTGTTCTGGGTAAAACTGAAAACCGACATTTCCTGGAGTCAGTGTTCTTCTCTTTTTGGAATTTCCAAGTCAAGTGTGTCCAAAACTTTCCACTCCATAGTACAGGCATTAGACACATCGATAGTCCCACAATTTCTAGGTCCGGATCACTTGACAAGAGAACAGTTGCTCGGGCACAATACTGTCTTTTCAGAAGCATTTTTTTGGAGATAAAGCCACAGCCATATTAGATGGCACCTATATTTATATCCAGAAAAAGCTCCGACCACATGCTCCAGAGAATGTCCTACTGTGGCCAGAAGAAGAAAAACTATCTAAATTCATGAGCATCGCCTTACCAGATGGCTACATTCTGGACACAGTAGGACCATTCACTGGCAGCGAAAATGATGCTACAATTACAAAAAAAGTCATGGACAAGCTAGTTACTTGGCTACAACCAGACGACAACGTTGTCGTTGACCGAGGTTTTAGAGATGTCCTACCAGTTCTCGAAGCCTCTGGCCTCAATGCTAGCATGCCGTCATACCTGAAACCCGGTCAAAGTCAACATTCTGACGTCCAAGCAAATCTTGACAGAACTATCACCAAATCGAGGTGGATTGTGGAATCCTATCATGGTCGTCTGAAACACTGGACGTTCTTCCGAACGCAATTGGTGTCTAACAGCTTTATCAATGTCATCGAGGCTTTGCTTCGAACCGTCACAGCCTGTCTGAATGGTATTAGAGGACCGATCTACCAGAGATCTCCAGAGAGAGATGCCAAAGATAGGCTAATGGCTGAACGTATGAAGGACCGTTTGACAACACCGAATGGTTTAGCTCAGAGAGTCAAGACAGATCCGGATCTATCTAGACGGGCAAGGTCCGAGTTTGTCAAGATGGATGCATCTTCCGTACTGTTTCCCCGTCTCGATCTTGATTACTTGAGAACCATTACGTGTGGAACGTATCAGATATCTCTGGCTCCTGGTTACATCGCCGAACATTTAAGTGATGACGGAGACTATGAGGTGTGGCTTTACCAGCACTCCCCAGACCTTCTCCGATGTCAAATACATTCTCGACACAAAAGCCAAACGAAATATAACGTTTGGATACGGTTCACCGTTTCACCCGATGTTGAGGCCCCAATAAAGGACTACTACTGCCAGTGCCCAGTTGGAGAGAGAACGATGGGAATGTGTGCGCACATCTCCAGTATCTTGTACTACCTTGGGTATTACAGGACGCTGGAAAACCCTCGACCATTACAACCACAGGTAAAGAAATTCCGACAAAACTTGAAATAGTTTTCCATGCGGCAACGGAGTGCATATGTCGAAAGTATGTTTGGGGCTCGATATGAAAGATCCCCGTTACCATGTGACTAACCAAACTTATAAATATAGGTATTATACAATCGCCCGTAGCTATGAACACTCCCGTAAATGCGAAAACCAACCAAAATCATAAGGAACACGTTTTGTTTGTTGTTCTGTCTATTTGTCAGCCAATGTCTTCAACCACGGGGACTTGTGAAGTAGCCATCTTGGATTTTTTTTATGAAAAAGTGTTTCTCTCACTTTTTTTCATATCTGTGTACATATTCTCAACATACCGAGCAAATACTCTCGTTTTTTTGTTAATTATCTAAAGAAAGTCGAAAATCGGCAATTCAACCATAGGCTAATTCAACCCAACATTTGAAAATGTTCCACCACTTACATTTTGATGATTTTTCCTCTCATCAATAGCATATTACGTACTGTTTAATAGGATAAAAATTGGTTTGCATCCAACGCCCATAAAAGGGTGTATTCTCTAAAAAACACAGTTTTTGTGTCTAAAATGTTATCATCGAAAATGGCATTTTTGAGATTGTTTCTTCCATAAAACAGCCAAATGGCGCGATGGAAACATGATTTTTTGTCACAATCATGCCATGAATGTATTCTTTACGGTGACCATCATTTGATTAGATTTTCATTAATATTTTACATAACATGCACATTTTATCAACACTTAGACAGCTTCTGAAAGGTACAACTTTGAGGAGCCATAAAAAACAAACCAAGTGACCTAAATCTTTATACTTTATAGATTTGTGACCACAACGGCATGGGCAATGCACCACCAACAGGAAATTTGAATCAGAGAA